GCAATGAGTCCTTTTGAACTGTCAGATTGTGTATATTTCCATTTACACTGCTGGCACTTTGTTCTCAACCTTCTCCCCTTCTGTCCAAATGAATTACTTACACCATCAGATCTGTCTCATTGTTCACAATGTAGCTGCTGTGGATTTTCCAGGTCTTCCTTGCTTATGAGTTTATTGCTCATTTTGCAAAGGGGTCTTTCAAACTTTGGTAGTTGTAACTTTAAGCCTCATTAGTTGTTGTATGAGTCAGAATCAAAGGGAAGGAGGAAAAATGGTGCTTTTAATTGCACAAACTATCCTGTGGAGGGGTCTAGCTAACCTACTGACTTCTTGTTATACAGTAATTTATATTCAGATTAATTTTGACAGCTGGCATTTTTTCTGTATTAGCTGTGATCATTTAAACTTCTGTAGCAATTTATAATGCAGTTGACGTTGACCAGAATAATTTTTTAATACTGATAGGAGGAGAGTCTTGTGCAGTGATTAGAGATACAGCTGATAATCAGGAGTCTGGGAACGTGGTCAAAGATAAGTAATTGAATGGCTACATTTTAAGATAGTACTGATCTGTTCAGGTTCCCAGAGATGCACAGGAGGGCTGAGAGGCAGTAGTCACGGCTGCAACAAGGATTAGACAAAAGGAAAAGACCAGTCCGTAGTAAGGTTGGTCAGTATAACAGCTGAATGAGGACGAATGGGTTTGCTTTTCACAACCGAGGAAGCCTGGATGGCAACAAGTGACAGTAATTCGATGAGACTGGGAATTCCCAATCACATAAAGTTTCTTAAAGAAAAATGATAGCTCATCTCAATTAGTGTCATTCCCTGAAGGGGTCCCTGCCATACCTTCTGCTGGAGCTGAACAGGTAATTAAACAGACAAACCTTTTAAAACTTTTATATTGAAACACCCAATGTAATTTCATCCTTTCCTCTAAATCTTGCTCTTGCTGTATTTTGTGTAACTTGGTCTTGCATCATAATGGGAGATAGGATAGAAGCACATAAAATCTTCAAAGCCTGAGAAAAGCACATTTGAAGCCAGTGAATAAGTTTAGTGGTGTTTGGGTCAGGCCCCAAGAGGTGGTTCTGAAGCATGTGAACCCTCTGTGCCTGGTGATTATTTTTCTTTACTATGTTGCTGAATGATAAAATACACCAAGAACAGACAGGATTGCTGGGGGCACTATATTACTCAGCCACCCACTTTATTGAAATCAACAGGTTATTTTCTCACTGACTTCTGTGGATCTCAGATCAGCTCCTGTAAAAAGTTTAGTATCCTTTCAAAATGGGATTTTATTTAATCAGATTCTCTTTGACACTTAAAGCAAGTGATTTCACCTAAATTGAACATGACTATTTAGATTTGGATTTTGCCAGAACTGTAACATAAATCAAGAATCTAGAACAGAACTAAAGGAAACAACATAGTGTTACAAGGATTGCATTTCTTAATAATGTAGAAAAGTGATGTTCCATCTCTTTCCAACTGTGGAGCACTAGCTGTTCTCCAACAGAAGCTGCTAGTCTGACTTTTATGAATTTTAAGCTGCTAACTGTAGACTTGGTTTTTGTATTTCCTTTTATTAGACTGTAAGCCCTGGAAGATCCACAACTGTAGGTGCAAAGCTTTCTGTCTAGAGAGTTCAGCTGTTCGTGTGTTTTGAATGCTAAATGTCTCTGCTGTATATAATTTGTAAGTATAAATAAGTAGGGAGCAGCTGGTGCTGCAAGGTCCTGTGCTTTCAGGTCTTGCCCTCTTTTGGAGGCACTTACTCGCAGCTCTTATTTCACAGAACTCTACCATTAGTATTTCCCACTGCACGCTCGGTCCGTGAACATCATTTACCTCTCCAGGAGCAGAGCCTGACTGCTGACTTTTGCAGAAGCAGACAGATGCTATTGGCTCGTTTTAGCTTCACGACCCGCGTGCTGGTAAAACCAATGATTCAGACACAGTCCTCAACGGATTGTGACGGGAAGCCTGCAACCCCCAGATCTATGTGCAGGTTTCTAAATACCAAGCTGGTAACACACTGGTTACTGCCTTTAATCGCAGCATCTTTCTCATTCCGTACTCTGCTATTACCTGAGCTGGATGTGAGGCTGACTGGGTGTTTTCCCCCCCGATTATTTGCAAGGTGCTGTAGAGAGGAAACCTCTTCATACTTTACCCAGACAACTTGCAGAAAAGCTTTTTGAGATTGTGTGTGTAGGAGAGCAAAATGACAGAGTGGGCAAAGGAGAAGATTAAAAATCGGAATTCAGGTAACACCTTAGATTTATTTCATGGTGCGCCTGAGGAGCCTGGTTATATTTTTGTGGTGAGGTGCTCTAAAGCCCTCTATGGATCACCATGTTGTAAGAAGGTGGATCTGATTGTTTGTATGAGCTGAAATCAAGGCTTTGACATCTGAGAGGCACGTAGCATTTGTATTTCACATCGCAGAGATCCTTACTTTAGCAGGCACTAGATGACTAAATGCTTTGAAGGCATCTGTCCCTCTGAGAGGAGAGAGATGGAGCTGGCAAGCATCTGCACCCTGAGAGGTGTACAGTTTGATGTTACCCTACTTACCAAGCAGTGGAGGTTGGACGGGACCTCTGCAGATCATCTGTTGTAAGCCCTGCTCAGAGCAGGCTGCTCAGCGCCGTGTCCAGACAAGTTGTGGGTATCTCCAAGGACAGAGATGCCACGAGCCCTCTGAGGAGCTTGTTCCGGTGTTCAGCCAACCTTACAGTAAAAGCACCCTTTAATCAGAATTTTCGGTGTTTCAGTTTGTGCCGGTTGCCTCTCGTCCTGTCGCTGGGCACTGCTGGGAAGAGTTTGGCTTTGTGTCCCTTATCCCTCCCCATCAGGAACTTACACACATCAGTAAGATCCTGCTGAGCTGTGAATCTCTTAAAAATGTCAGAGCATATTATTTTCTGCTAAATATGCTCTGAGTATGGCAGGTGTAGAATATTTTGGGGAGAATGTAACTGGCTTCCAGGGTCTTCACTTTTTTCTGTGTGTTGCCCAGGGGCTGGTGTTGCCCCCTCGTCGTTCCGTGCAGCCCAGCGCTGGCTAACGAGTTCGTGTGGAAGCCATGGGTGATGGTACACTTTTCCTCTTTTGAGGGAAAAAAAAAAGCCATGTGGACACTGAAGGAATAATCAGGTTCTAAGGAAGTGAAAAATGGAGAGTTTGTAGCAAAGAAAAATGAACAATTTATTAATCCATCAATAATGTATGTAGTTAATTGATAAAAAACTTACGCAGTCTAACTTGTCTGTATTTACGTGAAACAGGACTCTTTTTAGTCACTTTCAGCAGGCTCTAAATCAATTTTCCAGGCCCCCAGCTTCCTGGTAACATGACATCAGTACAACAGCCCAAGCTGGTGATTATATTAAAAGAAGAATATAATGGGACAAAGGAATAAGACTGTGGCTTGATCCTCTCCATTGATAAATTTAGAACTTGTTAAAGCTGCAGTAATGGTTGTAGTGATAAAAAGAAATATAATTTTCTGCTTACCCACTGTTCTAAAAAAACAGTGTATAATTATTGTGGGAGGAAGAAAAATACATCTCTCCTCCTTAGTCTGCTACTTTTCCCCCTTCTCTTTAGTGTTGAAATCATCCGGTTTAATTAAATCACCAGCCTATTTCTGCACAAAGAATGACATTTCATTAACGATATAAGATGTGCATGAGACAGAATTAACCCAATTTTCAAATGGATTTCAATTTGGAAAGGGCAACATGTAAAAATGTCTTGTAAATGTGTGGGATGAGCTTGTTGAGCAGCTTTCTGCAGGAGATGGGATTATAAAATGATGAATAATTAGACAACAGTCCCTCCCCCACCTCGGTTTCTAGCAGTCTTTTTGTAATTGCCGTTGGTGGGAACTTAGGTACTTGACGTCATATATCACAGATATATTAAAAATAAAATGAAAAAACAGACTTGTGACAATTGCTAGCAGAATACATGTAAATACATATAATTTCCTCAGTAATTTTTAGCTAAATAGTAGCTTTCAGTGACTTTGTAAAGTTACCACCACCTCAATCTGTTCTCTTTTTGAAAAAAACAAAAAAACAAGAAGAAAACCAGTCTCCCAAACATTATTTTGAATCATCACTTTTGGTAGCACTTTTTCCAGACACTTATTGTCACGCTTAGTTGAGGTATGGGATGTCAGGTCCCTTCTGCTTCTCAAATTATTATTTTCCCAGCGCAGCTCCGATTAGGCTAGAGCCCAGTTCCCCGTAGGAAGTTCCTGATTAGGCTGGGACTGACATCGAACCGGGCAGGCTGGGGCGTTCACAGCAGATCAGTGGTCGTACGGGACGTTGTTGTAGAGATCTGAAGAGATTTGAAGAATTGTAAATTGTTAACAAGCTTTTATCTCTTCTGCAAGGAGGGCAGATCCTCTGCTTCATCATTCAGACTTACATTCCTGAAGCTTATCTGTGTTTCTTAGAGGTCCACGCTGTATTGCCAACTCTTATTACTCTGAATTTAGAAATACCTTTCCATTTTGCCTTTATAATTCATAGGGGAACTGGGTATTCTGAAGGTATGGTTTTGTGGGTTTTTTTTTTTTTAACTTTGCAGAGTTGGGGGAAGAAAACTACTTTAATTTCCATATCGCCAAAATTTAACTTTTATCAAAGCCGTTCTCAAAAATAATTAACCTCTGAGAAGAGAGTGTTGTGAAAGACACGGTGAAAAGGTTTGAAATGGACTGCAAAGAATTTGTTAATAGTCTGGTAAGAGAAATCTGTCCTCTGAAAGTGTGAAGTTAATTTTTTTGCAGCTCTTATGCGTGGGGGTGAAGGCACTAATTCTTGTGTTAGAAGACAGATTTTTAGGGGTGAACCGTGAAGCTTAGAATGAGTGAGCCAATTAAAACATTCTCATATTCTTTACTGATGCAAAAACGATCATATAGTGCTTTTTGCTAAGCTCTGTGTTTAAAATGTGTTTTTGTTGCTTCTGTTGAGAGCAGAAGCTCGAGCTGCAAGATTGGTGGTGGTTATAAAGAAGCAAGGGCCAGAGGTTCCCACCGCTGCAGCCGTCTGTGTTGGTGGAACGGTGGTTCCTGACCCCGAAGAGCAGACACTGTATAGCAACAGGATTTGCCAGCATAAATATCCTGCCCTTCGGCTCAGAACATTAATCTTGACGTACTTGCGTAGGCATGGAGGGAGGAAATCTACAGTAAGCGTGGAAGTAGAGAGTGAAATGTGTTTTGGAATTTAGGGTTGATATGAAAGGGGCTTTCTATGGCATTTACACAAAAGGCTTGTGTAAGATGAAATGCGTGCTTTCTAGATACAGTATGGAGAAATAAAAGCAGATTGAAGGAGCGCTGAACAAACTGAATTGAGCCTTGTCACTGGAATAAGGTGTTCTCAGGAGGAATTCAGAACTACCATCCTGTCTGCCCTTTGGCATGGGGAAGCGTGGCTCTGTCAGCGGGAACAGAGCTGGAAGTCAAAGTCGCAGTTCAGTGCCAGAGTTCAGGGGTATGCTGGAAAATTTCATCCTGAAGTTGATTGATTTCTAAACGTACAAGATGATGTATTTTTTTCTTTTGTAGGCATTGCTTTGGTTTCATTTTTTCCCCTCTTGCTCTGGATCCCATTCACAGCCATGGGGTCCTACCAGCTAGCAGAACGTTGCGTTGGCTTCTGCACGGAAGGACAGACTGTGCTGTGCGTGCCCTGCTCTTAATGGACCTTTTCTCTCTTTCAGAAAAAGGAATGAAGAAAATGAGCAACATCTATGAATCAGCAGCCAATACCCTGGGAATTTTTAACAGCCCATGCCTGACTAAAGTGGAGCTGCGAGTTGCATGCAAAGGCATATCAGACCGGGATGCCCTCTCCAAACCCGATCCCTGTGTCATCCTTAAAATGCAGTCACATGGCCAGTGGTTTGAGGTGAGTGTTTAAAAAAAAAATATATTATTTTGATGCTTTTGGATGATATAGAGAAACTGAGACAAAATTCAAATAGCAAGAACAATAAAGAGAAGAAGCAATTTGGAGCCTGTGGCATAATCTTGTAAGAGTGAAGGGAGATTTTCCATTAACTCTAACGCACTTTGATTCAGACTCTTAATGATACTTTGAACTTCTCTTTGGAGTCTAGATTAAAAATGAAGATGATTAAAGAAAGAAGCATCATAAAACATTTCCCTTTAGGCTATCTTGTTTCATAGAAGCTATATAATAGTGGCGATAATGATAGTGACCATCATTCCTTCCAATCTAAAGAAGGAAAATGCTGTGCAAGAGAGGAGTATTTGTTACCAGTAGGTGAGAGATTTAGTGACAAAGTAGTGTGATTTGCAAATTTTGAGCATTACAGTTGGATTCACAGTTGAAGCTAGTAACTTAAACTAGTGCATTTGCCTTATCAATTTGTGTCGTATTGCAGATTGCAGGTTTGATTAAAATCCCACTTCGTGTTATTTTACCCGATCTTAGAAACCATTTCATTGATAAATAGAAACGGGATGTCTTGGAGACATGCAAATTGTAAATGAAGAACATTAGAACTAAATCTAATATTTTAAGTGAAACCTTGGTAGTTATTTTACTTGAAAGTTGCACTTGAATGTTTGTGGTTAATCCAACTAAAAGGTGTGAGGTTTTAATGGAAAGCATGCGTAGAGAAAATTAGGAAAGTATCAAGTCCAGTTCTTGCTTTGAGTGAATATTCATCCCTCACTTTTCAACAATTTCAGCATAAAAAAATAAAAATAACAATAGCTCTGAGCATATGCAGAAAGCAAAGTCCTACACTGATGAGTTTTTTAATTTAGCATATTCAGCCAAGTCTGTCAGACTTTGAGGATTTTATTCCAGTTATTCCAATTGTGTGGTTTTGACCTGTTGACCTCTGAAATTTTTCCAGTGCGGGGGTCAGCACCAGCATAGCAATTGTAAGGTTTTTTGGCAGTGGTCTTCCTCTTTTCTTAGTTCACTGCTGTGGAACCATTAGATGGTTCTCTGGTAGAAAACTACTCTGAGTAGGAATAAAACTCTCATGATTGCTCTAGTGCTGCAAAATCAGTGTCTTCATGTAACTGAAATTTAAGGTGATATAATAGGTAGCCTGAAAGAAGGTAGTTCTAGCTGGCGCTAGGTAATTCTAGCGCTGTGTAGAAAAGAGCATTTAGCTGCACTGTATGTAATTGCTCAAATAGTAGTAATTAACCAAGCAATGGATTGAAGGGGAAAATAAGGGAAACACCCTTTTTTTGGAAAGGACAGAGTGAAATCTTTAGGGCCATTTCAGTTATCTGAATATCTTACAGTGCATTTCACATAGTTTTTCTGTGGCCAGTTATGACCAGGGTATGTAGGTTTAAATTGTATATTCTTATGTTGTAATGGAGATTCCCTTTATTTGATGTGGTTTTTAATTTGGAAGGTGATTGCCTGAATAGAGTAATTCTTGCAGAACAGATTTGTTCACTGATATGATTCTCATCTTACGTCAGTTGCTCCTACTGCCTAATGAAAAGTCCAGGGTATTCATTTTAGTCTGAACAAAAAGTTGTTATTAGTTCATGTTCCTATCAGTGCAGCAGAGCTAATACCGCTCTGACATGATGAGCCTTTTCCTATTCTGGCCCACACATTCTCAACAGAATTCTTAATTAAGTTCCAATTGCTGAGTTAAATTGAGCAGAGTCACTCAGGTATAGCTGAACACATAATTTTGCTGGAAGAATCTTCTGCTGATGACAATCAATGATCCAGCAAGATCTGAGATGACAGACAAACTAATACTTTTTAAAAGATCTAGTTACTAATGAAGTGAGTATATTCAACACAGGAATAACTAAATGACAGCCCAAAGATGAGTGGAACCTAAGAGTGCTGCATCTATGGATTTAGTGACTTCAAGAACTAGTCTTGGATTTCCAGATACCTTAAAACCTTTGTAGGCTGGATGTCTCCAAACACTATAGCAAAATCCAGTATGGCTGAAATGTGCATACTGATCACTTCTTCTGGTTGTATGGAGACTTATGAACAGGGAGCAACTGGGTTGAAGGTGCCTGAAATGCTGATTGTGGTCTGTATATGGTTGTGCTCTTGCTCATAGGTGCTGCTGACATGTAGGGAAGGTACAGAGGACTGACTGCACAGCCCCTGCTGGGCCAGATGCAGCTGAAGCTGGTGGGGTGAGGATCATGGCATTGCATTGTGCATGCAAGTAGAGATGCTAGGATGTGATGGATTCACTCCACAGATTCAGGGAATCCCTGAAAGTGAGCAATCTATGTGTATTTGTCTTTGGGAAAATTTTGATAAAACATGTCAGCCTGTTGCTGATGAGAAAAAGAATATATTTTTTTTTCTGGGTGGGGGGGTTATGTCTTACAAAAATATATGCATAAACTCAAAACCTGGAGTTGCATTTTGTATTACCCTCCTTTTTAAAAAGAAAGACAACTCTCTTCCTCTCCAAGTCTTTTTCAACTTCATATGCAAAGTCCTAAGTATGAAAACTAAAGGCTGTAAATCTTCTATGTTAGCAAACATTTGATTAGAAGCCGGTACTGGGAATTTTTTTCCTCCTGTGCCTAGTTCAGAAACATGAACATCATTAGGTTTTGAAGAGATTTTTCTTTTTACACCCCAGGTAGTAATAAGTGACTATTCATTTTAAAGCCATTTTATAGTAACTCTTTTTTGCTTTTATCTCATCCATCACTGCTGCTTTCTCTTGAGCCTCCTCCTTGTCTCAGCATTTAAACATAAACACGGTGCTTTTCTTCCTGTCTCTTTAAATCAACTAGTCTTTAAATTTGAACTCATTTGAATCAGATTGTCTCAACTGAAGTCAAATGCTGTCACTTTGAGTCAATATATAGGAACTATCATCATGTTCCACTAGCTCAAACAGCAATTTCTGCCTTTGTAGTGCAGTCTCTGAAATGTGATGCATGCACAAAGGACAGAAAGAGAAAACTTGGGTTGTAAAGTCTCTTTTCTTACTGAGAGTGGTCATGTTTGGGACAGCTGCTTGCTCTCCACCAGAGCTGTGGGATCTCCTGCCACTGCAGCAGCAGGAGGCTGGCTTCTGGCCGGCTCTGTCTGTCCACATCTCTTCGGTCCCCTGTCACCATGTCATGGCAGGGGGAAGATACTTTTTCTCATCATTTACATAAATTGATAAAAACAAGTGTACTCCTGGGAAGTCAGGAGGGAGCACTTCTAAAGAGAGGTGGTAAAAGCTCCGTGGTCTCTCCCTGATGCTGTGGCCTGGAACGTCCTCTACTGGGAAGGTGATCTGTGGGGACCAATTTCCAGGAGCCTGCTGCCTGGTAAATCTGCCTCTGGGAGAGCCGTGGAAAGGAAAGTGTCCAAAGACTTCTGGGATCAAGAGGTTGCTTTTCCACGTTAGGAAATAATTACCTGCTTAAAAATCAGTGTGATACTTTACTGGCTGAGATGGAAATCTGAGTGGCCCGTACTTGTTCGCATCCTGTTTCAGTTCCCAGTTAGTCAGAGGTTGTGGAAGTGACTGAAGAACTGTTTCTTGTGAACAGTTTCTGTATAGCCATCCTCCAGCTGCCATCTCCAGTTAGCGTGCATCAGTGTTTCTGAAAGCAGCGCTATGCACGGATCTTCCCATTTGTACCTGTTTCAGGTTCCTCTGTGCCTTTGCAAACATTGTGTCTTGTTGCTGGTAGAAACATCTTCAATGCCTGAAAAAAAGCTGCCTGAAAATTTTGCTTTCATCTTAACTGTTGAGTAGTTTGATTGCAGACATGAAATATCAATAAACACCTGAGAGGAGTTCTCATTTATTCTTGTGTTTATCACATTTGGTCAAACTACTATGGCTGGCAAAGTATATGAATTTATTAAAAGCTTTTTTGCTTCAGAAACAAAGCACTTGAATTGCTTTCCCCTCCCCAAATGGTGAATATTTCTGTGGTATTATTGCACTTTCATCAGTATTTTTAATGATCCTGAGATGTGCTTGCAGATACTGCCTGTGGCCATGCTGTACATTTAATGGGTCTCAATTTATGCTTCACTAACTTTCCACAACTTTTTCTCAGAATAACTTTCCATGGAAGCTGTGACTCTTAAACAGTGTTCTCACTCATGTTAATAAAACACAAGTCTTCTAATATTTACTTTTTAAACCAAGTCAAGCCTTGTAGTTTCGTTGTATGAGTAAGTTAAGGGGGGGGCGGAAAGACATTCAAAATGTTTTCAAAATTACCCAAAGGAGATCTCAGGAAGAGGAAGGCTTTGCAGTGCTCCCACTGCTTTGTCAAGACTGGGTAACTGGTTTGCTTATCTGTCACAATGGATGTTTGTGGCATGGATCTGAAGTTGTCTGTCACACCTGTAAGACTCCTGGTGTATGGTATTTATTATTAGCACTCTTATCTAGAGTGTGCATAGAGTCAGGAGGAGATGTGAGTACTTTGCAAAACCCTTCCTTTCTATGGCTGGCTGGGAATGACGGCTTTCCTCTCCTGCAGAAAGAAATCAGCCTTTCCCTGAAATCTGTAGCAGTATAATCCCTGTTTGCACAGAAAAGGACACTTGAGCTTTTCTGTACACCAGCACGTAAGGACAGCCTGTAAGCAGAATGACGGCCTCGTGAGGTGGCGGTGCTGGAACGGGAGAGGTGTCCTTGTTCTCGTGTACCCCTCTGGGGCAGAGACAAGGGAATGGGGACTGAGAATGTGCTGGTGGTGGGACACCTTCAGCTGGGACTCCCTTGCAGGTCGCAATAAAAGAATTGACAGACATGAAGGATGAGCTTAAAGAGCTTGCTTTTCCTTCATCTCTCCCTTTCACTCAGGAATTAAAACAGATTGTAAAAATAAAAGTTGGTATGTGTTTTCTCCTGCCATACTGTACTCAGTTTTGCAGATATAGATCCTCAGAAAAGCTTT